CCCCTATATCACAGATCCACTTATGGGACACAGCTGGAATTCCTACTACTACCACCATGTTAAGCATCATCACGTGGAGAACAATGGTCCGGATGACCTGTCTTCCACCATGCGCTACCAACGAGACAATTTCGTTCATTTTTTGTGCTATGCAGGGCGATTTTACTTTCTCATCTGGCTCGATTTACCGTTATACTTTCTCAGGAAGAACAGAACAGAATTGGCGGCAAAGGCAGCGCTATGGGAACTAGGGTGGTACGCAACGCTGTGGCATTTATACAGTCTGAACGCAAAGGCTACCCTTGTTGCATTTATCCTACCACTACTAGGGCTTAGGGCGGGCCTCATGGTCGGGAATTGGGGTCAGCACGCCTTCGTCGATAAGGAAAGGCCAGACTCTGACTACAGGTCCAGTATTACATTGATAGACGTATCGGCAAGTGTTGCTGCCCACTGCAGGTTGAGTATCGGCGGGCTGACGTTGGGTAGAGCAATCGCCATTGCTTCAACGATGGCTACCACACATCGCACCACCTCAACCCGCTGCGACATTGGCGCGAGCACCCTGTGTCTTTCATAGGGTCGAAGGCAGAATACGCGTCGCAGGGTGCTCTTGTGTTTCACGGCATCGATTTTATGATGATAACGGTCCGTCTACTCCTGAAGGACTACCGTACCCTGGCGGAATGTATGGTCCCAATTGGTAGCCAAATATCAATGACCATGGACGAGCGAGTGGAGTTCCTAAAGGGTCGTACACGGCAGTTCACGGAGAAAGACATACAGCGGAAGCGTTAGCCCATGCAATATAACGTTTGGTGCTGAGTAGTCTTCAAAGTCCGATTGTCATGCCTACCACCCTGTAGATTGTATTCATCGTGTGGCCGCATCGCACGGTCGAACCTAAGGTACGATGGCTCACCGGAGGTCATATCGTGCAATTTGCTTCAATGTCGAGGGCGGTGGCCACAGACGTGGTGAAGGCGAAGTTTGACTTGCGGGCATCACCACTTAGTTGCTCAACGACACGGATGAATCCAGCCGCAATGACGCCTATGCCATGCCACATGTCTCCCCCAAGCTTGGTTCCGTCGGGCAAGCCTCTATTGCACTTCGATACCTGTTTCTCACCTCTATCCACTCTGCATCAGCCGCGTTTGTGACGCGAAAGTGGTTGTTGCTGCCAGAATCTCTGAAGAGAAGAACATTCTTCTGAGCTACTCTACCGCCATATGCAAAGTCTCCGAAAAGAACCATCTGCAGTGAGCTGATCCCATCTGGCCCGAATATTCACTTCAAAAACTGGTGGAACTTGTCTCGAAAGCCGAGCTCAGAGTTCGGGTAGCCAATCGAGGATCGCTCAGAGGGCTTCATGGCCCATGATGCATAATGACGGAGATCGGACGCTGACTGACGGATGTGGAGTATCTTTAGTGTCGCCTTCGACCTAAAGGGGAGCAGAAGATGTTGCTAGCGGGCATCGCCGTTAGTTCGTCCACATCGTCTATGTCGGGACTACTTACCAGGAGCTCGGGAACACAGCTCAGACCTAGGAACTCGAGGTCAAGCTTTGAAAAGGGATTCCGTGCAGGCTCTTTTCGCATCTGGGCTAGCTCAAACTTCGATATACCCATGTCGGGCAAGTCGCACGCCTCTTCAGAATTGGGTAGCCTGGCGCGGGTTCGATGGTGTAGTACCAATCGCCTGAGAGTTGCATGGCGCCGACGAATTCGTTTTAAGAGATCCAATGGTGCGGCCGAACCAGTTTGACCGAGGCAAAGCTCCGTGAGCCCCTCAAAGGCGTCCAGGCAATCGGGGACATGGCCCAACGCTAACCCGCGGCCCTCTGCTTCCTGTATTTCGAGTCTCTCTAATCTAATGCGCAGCTTACTTTGCAGAACCCGCTTCAGGAACTCGTCCATACCGGGGCAGATTCGCAAGGTGAGGGATTGTAAGCTGTTGAAGTTCAGCACGCGTACCATCGCAGCCGCCACAGGTACGTGTGAAAGGTGCAAGGTACGGATAGTACGGATAGCTGGCAAGATAGGACGTGGAGACCGGTCACTCAATCCAAGAATTCCGTAAACGAATATATCTGGTGCGGCAATCCCGTTCTCGTCTTCCTCATCGCCGATGTAGCCCAGGTTCTCTCGCAGTTCTTGCCAATCCACGAAGTCTAGTTGAAGGCTCTGTAAATGTTGCGAATTGGTCCGAATGGCGATAGCAAGGGTGTCGAGATCTTCTGGACGTGGTCCTGTCCAGCGAAGGTCGCGTAGATTGCGGAATGAGGCCAAGTCAATATTACAGTGGTCATGATAATATTCATGCTGACTGCAGGCGTAGTCTGTTGTCAAACTCAAATACCGAATCCGATGATGTTTTCGTGAGAGGATCCCGTTCGTATCGAGAATTTCCGGCGGCACGCATGTACCCAGACCCCAACTAGGTACTTTGTCAGGTGGCCTAGATTTACCATACGGCGAAAGACGCTCACCTGAAGCCTTGCAATTGGTTGTCCGTGAATTCGTCTAGCAAAAGCTTTGCCCTTTGAGAGAGCTGCTTGAAACGTGGTTCGAGCTCGACGTCGCCGTCAGAATCAAAACCGCCTTCGTCGGAGTCCCATACATGGGGGTCGTCTTTCAGGTGGGGACATCTAGACAAGGTAGCGTATTGCATATTCGTATGGAAACGGACGTGTGTGGCAAGGCGCGCAAAGTTTGGCGACGGGAATGCATCGGGAATTTTGTGTAAGTGATATTCACTCCATGGCCTGATCATGATCGATCGCCAGAGGATTCTGGCAATAAACGTGTGCATAGATTTTGAAGTCAGGGAGAGAGATTTCAGATCAGGTTTGTGTAACTGGGGCCGTTAGCAGGATGTGTAGGTCGATATCTAGCCGGCTCGCCTTACTCTTGCGAATACAAGCTGCAAAATGTCCAGGGGCAGCCTCGTCAGCATGCAAAGATGCCCTGACCTGGTGGACGGGGGCGTGGTAGATCCCATGGCGCTGCGGAGGCCGGCGCACAGCGATACTTCCTGCGTCTTGATGGGCAAGTGCCACAAAGAAGTATGGATGAAATGGAGCCGTTGAGAACAAAAATAGGACGACGTATGGTCTAGAGAGAGGTGATGTCGCACTCGGCCATTGGCACAATGCTGGTGACAGCACTGGGAAATTGCTCGTACGAGGCGCGGGGATGAACGTGCGCAACAAGAATTTGAGAAAACAATACAGTACATGAGCTCTTGGAAGAATTGGTGGGCTTTGGCACCTGTACACCCCCCTTGACACGTACAGCACCCCGCCGCCCCCTAACCCAAGTGTCAAGGATGATTGCAGTTCTGTTACTGTACCGCTCCCCGAGTCTTCAGAGCACTTCGTCTAGAGGCGCGCGACCAACACGTCCTGCGAGCTTCACACCACACACCCTGCAAGCCTACATGCTTCACCATACACCTTGCGAGCTTCACACCAGAATTCCTGCAAGCCTACATGCCTCACACCACACGGCTGCAAGCCGACTTTGCTTCACACCACTCATCCTGCGTGCTTCACACCACTCGTCCTGAAAGCCGCTTTTGCTTCACACCACTCATCCTGCGTGCTTCACACCACTCGTTCTGGAAGTCTTCATGCCTCACACCACTCTTCCTGCAAGCCTCCATGCTGCACACCACACATCCTGCAAGCCGACTTTGCTTCACACCACGCGTCCTGCGAGCTTCACACCGCGCGTCCTGGAAGCCGATTTTGCTTCACACCACACGTCTTGCAAGCCTGCAAGCTTCACACCACACATCTGCGACCCTGCATGCTTTTCGCACCACTCGTCTTGGAAGCTATACACCATCCGTCCTGCAAGCCGACTTGCTTCACACCACACGCCCTGCAAGTCTATATGCTTCACACCACTCGTCCTTCCAGCCTCCTTACTGTAGTGTAGCAAGTGCAGTAGGGCAACCCGAACCAGCAGCGCCCATCGCCTGGCTGCTGCAAGACGCAGAGGCTGCGAGTTCATTCCGAGGACTGTACAGTATCTGCGGCCAAGTCCCGGTGGCTGGTTATTGAGATCGCAAGAAGTTGGAATAGGCTTTTCATCAACCACAGGGAATATGTAATGGATGGTGTGTGGGCATGGGGGAGGGTGCTGTGGCCATGTGAAGCGACAAGGTTCCCTTGCCTTCCACTAAGCTGACCCCATCCGCTGGAGGTCAAGCCGTTCAAGCGTCGAAGAAGCCCAAACATGCTCCTCCTCGCTTGAGAATACAATTACTGCATTCCAAGTACTTCGGTTACAGTACGACTGGCAAGCGTGATGCCTAGAGTGGTGCAGATTTGATCCACCAGCAGTCGACATACGCCAGATACTCGGCAGCACCGTCAGTTCACAGAAGTCACTGTCCCAAACGGCTATACAGCAAAAGTAACGTGCAACGTCCCTCGTTGTTCCAGTATCAAGCTTTGGGTGCAACTACGCTAACTCCTTGCAGCTACGTCATGCGAAGCAGGTCTCGAGCGAAGGTTACGAAGCCTGTCAGGTCCTTGACCTCACGAAGGCAATTCCTACTTGCACAAGAGACCTGGGAAGACCTCGTAGCCATTGATAGTCTGGACACCGACGCAGGCGGGCGACTTCGCGTATACATCAAGACTATAGACACGGGTGAAATATCCGCCCACGACGCCGCCGTAACGTACGCAAAATGCCCTCAGAAGGTTAGTGTTCATGCAATGAGTGGGATCATTAACTCAAGTGCTGACACTCGAAGATGCTTCGCTTCTACGAGAAGCACATTTGCTTCATATAATATGATCCCGCCGACGCAGATGCATGGTATTGGTGGGGGGCCATAACAGATATCACTACCGATACCTGTCCTGAGTACGATTCGCAGACAGGTGTATTGACTTTCACTGTTATCGACGCCACAGAGACATGCCTGCAAGGTTCGAGGGCGCAATTCGGCTGCAGGAATCTGGGTCCTTTGCTAGATGATCGTGGTGTGTCATTACACTTGCGCCAGCGGCTGCAATTGTTTGCGGCGCACCCTCAGGAGGCGATGAAGTAGAACGAGAGTGTTACGTCCTGGGTTTTGACCACCAAAACTCTCTTCGCGCAAGTCGTCTGGTTCAAATTTCAGATCAGGTTGCCCCCCGCTTTTATTATGGTCACGCAAATTGGGAAGTGAAACTCGGCGCCAACACTACGACCCGATTTTGCCAATTACGCCAATCTCACTCGATGCGCAACGAGTGCAAGTGAATAGCGGCAATCGGGCGGGTGCCATTTGTGTGATCTAGAGTGACGCTCTGGCGGTCACCCGACCTAATTTATAATAATGCACAACTCAAACTCTGCAAGCCAAGTCTCGTGGCAAATTTGATGTCTCGGAGCCAAGCTCGATTTCCACGGGGTGGTAAACTCTTGCTGAGCGCGTTGCCACTGAAGATAATTGCGTCAGCTTAAAACTTTTTGGACGCCATGGCGTCTTACTGTACCAATTCGTAATACTCAAAACAGTTCAGAGGCCACCTGCTGTCTCTCCTTGGCCAATTAGGCGACGGTAACCAGCTCTCTGGGTATATAAACCTTATCTAGGCACCGTTGCGCACCTTTACAGCTTCGTCGTCTCTTCATTCCACCGCTTAGACAGCGGCAGTCGACCAAACATCATGACCGAGGCTGCGAATAGCCGCTGGATTAGTGATATCGCATTTTGGTTTGATTGCCTCAAGTAATGGCGGCCCGTCACCATATTCATCAAATATGCTGTGCTACAGAACGAGTGGAGGAGCTTTGCCTGTTTCGTGCGCTACCGGATAGCGATGGAGGGCATATGAATGCTACTAGACGGGACTGTACGGCAGTTTACTCTGGCTGCACGCGAGGGCCATCGAGACAAGGACAAGTGAGTAAGGCGACGACCTGACCGCGATATGACAGTAGTAACGCGAGCTCTTGGCGCTATAAACGACAGTTGAGGCAGTATGAGCGAGACTGTGTTGTCTTTCCTTGCTATAAATCTACTCCCACGCGTGTTGGCTCCTTCGCAAGACAAGGTTATTGGTACTGAGTGGAAGCTCGTTCAGCCATGATCAAACACGGACAGGACCACGCGAATGATATAGTGGCTAGTTCAACCTCCTACACCCTCATTTATCCTTAATCTGCTCATCAAAGAGCCTTCTTCTGCCAAAGGACCACCTCTTGTTCCCCGGCTAATCTCGATGACAGAATTGGCAATGATGAAGATTAAATGATTTTGCCTGGCATGGTATAATGGGAAATCCACGATCCGCAGTTTGTCGCCGCCTATCCCTTTTAGTTTGTCCTCTTGTTCGACTAATATACGTTCCACATAATATGCGACACATGTTACTCCCCGGAACCCTGTAAAGATCGCGTTGAAGTCTGGTATGGTAGTCAATCCTTTTAAAGTCGGTTCAAGCACTGGACCTATATTGAGAGTTCGCTCGGGGTACCTGACTTCGAGAGTTTCAACGTCTACCTTGGGTGAGCCTAATGACGCCAATAAGAGTTCTGGATTCGTTTGCTTGTAAAGTTTGTCCAGGCATGCGATGGTATTGCCCTCGTTTGCTGTTGCCAGAGCCTCATAGTTGTGACGACTCGGTAAGTACAACACAACGTATCCGCCCGGTAGGAAGGTTCCTACCAACACTGGGTTGAAGCCTTCGCTGCATACATGATCTAGCCATCTACCATCCCGAAATAGTGAAGTGAACTGCTTTGTAACCCAGCATCCTTGCTGCTTTTCAATGACACCCGGCGGAATGGCCAGCCCTTTCTTTATGCTCATTAACAGTCGAAGCGGATTGGCCATCCCAAGATAGTTGACGATCTCTGCTTGGAGCTCGTTTGGAAGATATTTGGCTCTATTCAGAGCCTCCATCTGCGGCTGTTACCTCCCTTTCCTCAAGTCACACTTCGGAACACTCACACTTCTTACTTTTGGGCTCCATATAGAGTTGTTGCAAAGGCCTTTGGGCAACTGGAAAAGGATCCCATGGTTGAACGAAACCAGTCCAATTCGCCGAATTGTTTCTGGTTTTTCAGCGTAGCAGATCGCGGCAGATTGCAGAGTGGTGTTCATTTCCAGACTTTTCGCTGTATCGCCCGACTGATGTAGGCATTCCAAATAGCCTCGGTAGAGACGAGGGTTAAGGCTGTGGTGCAGTATTTCCGGTAAGTGCGATCCGGTTCCCTTCTGATCGCTTATTCTTATAGCTGGCTCTGGGTATCCGTTGCTTGGTGGATCTACAAAGGAAAGCACACAAAGCTGGGTCCAGTCATTCAAATACTCTAGTTCAAGTCCGTCTTTGCGCCCGTCTTTCTTTCCCCCTAGAACAATGCTGGTGTATAAGAGTATTCTCTCCCTCTTGACATAAAATGTTCCATTGGCCACTTTAATACAATCGTGTAAACTCCTTATGAAAAGGTCGTAACACTCTGTGGAGTATGTTTTCGTAAAGCTTTTGGGAGTGGTTGTTCTTGTACGACCAAGTCGAAGGGCCAAGACAGTCAGAGTGTTCCTTTTGTATAGTAGATCGCGGCCAACCAAAAATGGAACAAGACCTCGCGCCAGTACAGCGTCAAGCCATGCTGTGGATTGAAAAATACGCAACCACCAGCTTTGCTCGTTTACAGAATTGCTCATTAGGTTCTACGGCGGTAGCAGTTTGACTGTATCGCTCAATATATGGGGGCAAACATGCAGCGTTGAAAGCTCTCTGTATACGGAATTTCTTTGCCCATGGAGCCTAAGGAGAAAGCCGCTTCTGCTCCTCAGCTTGCCGCCGCTGCATCGTGCCGGCCGTGGGGCAAGGGCCCACGACGGAATGGTCTTGCGGGCACGCACATGGAGATGCTTTGCCGTCGATATTGACAGGACCAGCATATGGCACGACTGGTCCTGGCCCCCTTGCTTTCATCTCTAAGCCGAAGACGGTATCTGGATTCATTTCCGGCTGCGCCTCTGCGGGGAACATGATTAGAACAAGCTGTTGCGGTGGCGCTGCCATGTCCACTGCAAATGCAGGCATTTTGTGCTCAAACCAAGGTGCCGTGGATGGATGGTGTGGTGAGGAAATGGTGTGGTGAGGAAATGGTGTGGTGAGGAAATGGTGTGGTGAGGAAATGGTGTGGTGAGGAAATGGTGTGGTGAGGAAATGCTGTCGGAGTAGGAGCAGATATTCTGGGGGTCGATGCTAAGGAAGGCTCCGAAAGTCCGGTGAGACGGTTGAAGCCCATGGCCAGAAGTGGCGGCGCATCAGATCCTTAGCGACGTAGTTGGAGGAGCGAGCCACGCACGAGAAACGCGAGGGGTAGATGCCCAGTCCAGGCACAAGAGGCCGAAGTTCATATCCAATGCGTGAACACCGGCGAGTCGTCCCGGCCACCGCAGTCACGGCCTTGGCCGGATCACTGCAGTGATTTCTACGCTAGGTACAGTATGCATAGCCCAGGCGAAAGTTAATACCGAAACAGTAGCTATGAAACGACTGACGGTCTGGCGAGGCGTATTGCCAAGGATCATGTGGTAATGCTGATCTGCGTCGCAGGACTAAATATGCGTGCCTTGACATTGTTGGGCGTCGTTGTGGCGCTCGCAACGTCCGCGAGTCAATACATCCTAAGAGCTGAACAGGCTGAACGATATGCGCACCCACAAGCTAGTCGACACTACACGAATTCAACAGTTCTGAGGAGCACATGGTCAACCAAACCCCGCACTGGGAGTACGTCAACAGCGGACCGGCAGACGACGGACAGGAAGACGACGAACGGACGAATAACCGGCACGCATACAACGGACACGCTCGGAACAAGCCTGAAAATAACGAGCAGACAGCCAACAAGCAGACAACCAACGAGCAGACAACCAACGAGCAGACAACCAACGAGCAGACAACCAACGAGCAGACAACCAACGAGCAGACAACCAACGAGCAGACAACCAACGAGCATCCACACAACCAAAAGAACAGTCACGATCTCTAGCCATGCTTCTGTCTCCATAAGTACTAGAGAGACGTGGTCCCCGAGACCTGGGGAATCAACAACGGCAGTCGGGACCCTGAGCCCCACGTATCCCAGTTCAATCTCCACCAGCCACCATTCGTATACAATTACCGTCCGGTCCTCGCGTAGTGGTTACTCAAAGACGCCTGTCTCAAAAACAACCAGGCAGCAGACCTCTAGATACGAGCGGTCGACTGCATACCTTACAAGCCCAGCAACAACGCCTGTCTCAGAATCTACCATGCAGAAGACCTCTGGATACCAGCCGTCGACATCAGACTTCACAACCCCCGCAACCACAGACACAACAAGAACAACCAGTCACCTTGGTTTTAGAACCACTGTCACTCCGCCACATAGTATCGTCACCCCTGTGCTCACAACGAAAGACGACGCCAGCAAAACGCCAATTTCCAGCGGTGTTACTACGCCAAGCAGTTCGATTTCCGATGTTCCCTCAACCAATCCGCACTCGGAATCCGATCATTCCAGATTTAGGACAGCGACAACTTCAACAGAATGGAAAGTCTCCAAACAACCGTCGGCCACGGCGCCTCCCGTCAGTTCAGCGGAAGGGAGTGGTCCAAGGCCTGTTAGTGAAAGTGCTGCGCTTTCGGCCACAACGACGGACACCACTTACCCTTCGGACACCGTAACTACGCGTACTCCCCCAGCAAAAGTCTCAGGAATGACCACCACCAATCTCGCAGACGAGACTGTGACCATCAACAGTTCCTCGTCGCAGACATCAGGTGGGGGCTCCGGCCAGCCGTACACGAATTCTGCAAGTCTAGCACCGCCACACGTCACGCCAACCACGATGACACCGTCAACTTTCTACTATGGGTTGCCAGTGGTGAAACCTCTCAAGCCGGAGAGTCTCACCACTGCCACCACATCAATAGACTATCTCTGGTCGGGTAGTTCCGTGTACGACAGAAGTACGAGCGTCATCGGCCAGAGGCCAGCGCATTCCTCTTCGGATGCTTCTACGCGATCAATGACTTCCACCATGCAGTTGAACGCGCCACACTCATCATCTGAGAGCTTCGCTTCTCGACACACGATCGGAACCACGGACTCGTCGGGGCGACACGGATCGGACGCATTTGCCGCACCGTCCGCCATGCCCACCACCACCAGTGAGGACGGTGGTTCTGACACGCAGCCTACGAATAGTCTACCCTCGCCCGGCACCAACGCAAGCACCAAAACGAGACTTGGAACTCATTGTACCACAGCGTTATGTGGCAGCCATGCCGATAACGATGCATTTGCGTCCAACAGCAGCAATTTGTCTCCCAAGCAGAGGGCCAAAACTGCTGGTATAGCCATAGGTGCTGCCGGGCTCAGCATGGCGTTCGGTGCCGCGATGTTTGCTGGTGCTCGTCGATACAATCGCAGAAAGCAACGTCACCAACGCTCCTATCTAAGCAGTGACAGCCAAACAGCGTTAGCGGCGAAAAGCAATAGCTACAGTCAGGTACGGATGGTTGGAGCCCTGTATGGTCGCGGGCAACCTCGCTCTAATGAGCCTAGCTATGGCGCCGTTGGTGTCGGTTCCGCGAACGGACACCGCGGTACGAGGAGGAATGCGAACATATTCTTTCCACAAGCTCCATAACGACAGGCAGAACAATGAGAGTAAGGGAATCATCTGAGATGGTGGCACGTAAGGGAATCATCTGAGATGGTGGCACGTAAGAGATGGTGAAAACAATTGTTTATCTCGCAGAGCCGGCTGTTCTATTTCTTTATGGGACCCGGAGGATCAAGTAATTGTGCGATGATGTCAGCCATTGCGCGACCTTCCAGACAGATTCCGCGTATACATAGCCTACCATGCTATAAGGTGTCACGTGGTAACCTCCAAGGTATGGGCACTCCAATACAGTATCGTACCCGTTGTCCCCGAAGATTTTGAAGAGCTGCTCGGACGAAGGAAACAAGTTGAAGACTTCCGGTGTACGGCCTTGCACGCACATACCCGCTCCCGGCTAGCTTCCGTGCTCGGCGGGTGCCATTCGTGAATCCTGGGGAGGTTGGGTCAGCCGCTCAGCCGATTCAAGACCGCTCCCAGTGGTGCGGTTGATGCGGAGGCGATGGTACCGTAGGGCGCGAAAAATTGCTTTGTGCGGATCTCCCACGCTGACGACTATCCAGAACAAGACGTCCCTGGTGGTTGCCTCCCAGCACACCATCACGCTGCCCGCAACCCACAACGCGACAAGGGCAGAGGGACCACCCTGGCAAGCATACCATCAAGTGGCGCCGCCACACCGGCATGTGTTATGACAAGGAGTGACATCCAGATCAAGAGCATGGCTCACCATCACTATGGAACCGTACCGTCTCTCTGCCGATGCCCATTTCCGGATTTTACGTTCCAATCCGCTACTCCCCAGACGCGAGCAGAGGAATCTTGAGAGAGGTCGCGCGCCGCAGAAGGTGACAGAACAAACATCGGATCCTCTGATGCGATCAACCGCGCGACCGCACCATTGAGACGCGGCCTTGCAAACCTCGCCACCAACGCTGCACATATGTACGTTGTTGTGACCGTCTGCCATCTTGCGTATCTCGCTGCAACAGCGTCCCATCAGCTACCACCCGCTCGCAGACATGTCACAGGATTGGTCCCCTCCTCGCCGGCCTGACTCGCCGTTTCCCGCCTTTCCAAGCCCTACCGTGGGGCACAAATCTGAGCGGGTTGCGCGCAGTGACAAAGGCAAGAACATTGCGTCGGTCAACCGTAGGTTGTTCTTCTTCTTATCGTGCGATGTCAAGAACACTTTCTGAATTGGAGTCGTGCTAGTCAATGCTGCGAACCCGTCGCCACCATCCTTTGTCTCTAGCTGGACGTACAGCCCTGTCACGCCCCTGCCGGTTGTCCTACAAGATTTGATTCAAGCCGAGCACGAGAAAATTCTCCACGAGCTCTCAGAAATAAGGCATGAGATTAAGGAACTAGGGGTCCAATTGAGAGATGTCGAGAAGTTGTGCAAATCGAACATGGCACAATACCCGCTGGGTGATTGTCCGTCGCAAGCGAGTTGAACTGTTACGGAGAGCTCCATTGGAAGCAAGCCTTTGGTTGAGGAAATGAGCACATGCAATCATACGGATGGCGGCTGATCGAACCACAAAACTACGCAGACCAGATATTTGCTGCAGTGGCAGGCGAAAAGGGTGACTATATAGTAAAATGCTTCTAGGCGGTACGTCCTCTCACACGTTATTTATTTGCCCTATACCAGGACATTGCGTGACAGGGCGGTAATGAAGGGGCCGTAATTGATGTCCAACGGATAGTGCATTATCCGCCCTGCGAATGTTGTAAGCTTGAGGAGTTCTGTTTGACAGTATTGGCCGTCCCCACAGCCCGTTATAATAGGAAGGCACAATCCACTGTGCACAGCCATTACAGTTGCCAGTCAGCCCAAGTGTACAGAGCATCAGAGGAGATGACATAAGCAGGGCCATCTCTACGTCTTACCGTCCGTATCCTTGCCATGGAACGTACCTATATAAGCAGCCACCAATCAAGCTCTCATGCGTCAAGCCATGCATTCGCTCCCCGCCGATGCATTTCCATAATTCCGCTTAACTGAAGCCTTCCCAGCATGGCAAGCTTAATAGGCACTGACATACACCAACGGCTGCAACAGATACAAGATCTAGCTACACAATGTTCCAAGGATCTTCAAACCGTGCCAACGCCAGAATACGAGCATGAGGGAAGGCTAGCAAACGTCAACGCCCAGCTTGAGGAGGCCCTGGAACGATACGCAACTCAGAGCGCTACAGATCAGTCCGATCTGCGAAAGAAGATCGTCGGCTACAGCTGTGAATTGGAGCAGCTCGAAGCCAGCTACATGGCTAGGCGCGAGGACGCGGAAGTCGCGTACAACGGTAGGCTTGGAGAGGTTTGGGAGAGCTTTTGCCGGGAGGTGATGAAAATTTTGGGCGAGGCAAAGATGCAGGAAGTATTGCAAAAACCGTTGGGCAAGAGTATGCATCAGGGCAAAGTTCGATGCTTTTGGTAATGCAGGCTGATATCCGACAACAGAAAAAGGGGCCAGGCCGAAAGATGATACTTCATATAGCGCTCCCAGTGTAAGTATTTCGTCATTCTCGAGAAGTATTCCGAACTAACATGGCAAGGGTAAACGGAAATACACGCTTGGGTTTTTGCCTCCCCGGCGGCAGAAGAAGCAGCGGCTCGGCAGACAAGACAAAACCAGCGAAGAAAACGCTACAGCGTCAGCACATCCAATTCAAGGCCATGGAACTCGGTTTGGCTGGGGTCAACGGGACCAAGCAGCAAATTTGACGCAGTGCTCCTCGGGGATACATGCACCAAGTCTTACCACTGGCGAGGTCTACCTCGCATCTTGGGGCAAGACCGGTACCCCGTCAGCGGTGCTCCTTCTGCCCACTGAGAAGCTTCACGAGGTCGGTGTCCCTTCCGACTACACAATGGAGTCACTTGGCCTGGTAGATGACGTGCCGAGCTGCTATGTATACGATCATCACAAGAAATCATTTCGGTGGCGAGACGGCTACGAAGATGGGGGTCCTTTCGTGTCGAAGAGATATTATCCCGTTATATTTTTCAACGGCTCGACATTCTTGCCAAAATCTCCAGGAAAGGTCACCGCTCGTTGGCTGCCAGCTGGGGACTTAAGGGTGCTTGATATCACTGATTCGGCCGTTCGAAAGCTCATCGGACACGCGAGTCAAGTACGGAAGTTCCTCAGCGAGCGTGAAAAGGCACTCGACGCGAGTAACGCCAAATGTAAGCATGCACTTTGGGGGAAGATGCCCAGGCGACAACTATTCTCCCGCATGGCAGGTTTCTGATGATTCACTGACTCTGTCTAGCTGAGGATGGTGTGCGGACGCTTCGTCGTCATGAATCTAACCGTGCTGTCGAACAAGCACCCGTGGTCACGAGTGCAAGGCCGCCAGAGGCTCGT